AATGTGCCCCATGAAAACATTGTTCCTGGCGAGAAAGCATGAAAACCTGGGCGAGCCCATTGTTATAGATGGAGGGTGGTCATAATGTAATGGCTCCTTGGCGTATATAGTGGTAGAATTGAAATCCTTGTGAAAGAATATAGGCTGTGTTACTTAAGAGAATTGGTACTATGCAGGCTTGGCTCACTCGAAATAGAATGGAAAGAGCAGTTGCTAATGCAAACAAATGCTACGTTTTAACAAACAATCAGGATCGAGATACCCTCATTACGTCTCTTGAAGGTATCCCATTGTCGAGATTGTGGCTATATAAGCAAATACACTTAATTTGATGCAAAAATAGCAGACAAGACTAATAAAAAACTGCAACTAGCAATAAAACTAAACAAGATAACACCAACAAGCGTTTGCAAGCTGCAAAAAAAAAAAAAAAAAAATGAAGTGAAGCGTAATAACTTTTGACGCCATCGATAACATTGTTGGTTTCATTAGTAAGCTGACAATAAGAAAAATAAGGGGGGAGGGCATGTTGTGGACAACAAAAGCGCGTTATTTAGAAGAGTGCCGCTGGATAGCAAAAAAATAGCTGAAGAATTTTTGCTTGTGAAGAGGTAAATAAATTACTGGATGATCGCTTCATATTACATCGTTTATTAGATTATAAGAAGGAAATCGGATGGAATAATATTCTTTTTTTCCCTCACTTTTTTGCATTAATACCAGAAATTAATAAATATGACTTTTGTTTTGAAATATTTTTTTTTTTTTTTTATATTATTGTTCAGTTGTTGTATGGGTGTCCAAGTCGGTTGTCAAAGCTGACCAATCACCTATTATGTTCAGAGCCGATCGGTTCAAGAAAGCGGTCATAAAAGTGCCTATTTTTTTCACATATCACAAATACACGTATTTGATTAGTGCTGACATCTAGTTAAAAATATCCTGGTACTGCCATCTGGTGTGTAAAATGAGAAATAAAATGTTATCACGGAAATAGAGGGCGAAACCTCACCCCGTCATTTTCACGGGAGCTAAAAGGAAGGAGTTAAGAAAACAAAAACACATTTTTTCTGTGTGATAAACTAGGTAAATTTATATTCATAATTTACATTGCTACTAAGTTTAAGTGTCATTTTATAACCTTTCACATATTCATTGAGGCGTAAAGTCTGGTGCAAGCGAATGACATGTATATTAATTATATGTATATTAATTATTGACTACAGAACATAATCCTATCTCTCTTCCCCTTTTTATTTCATTTGACTTCTAAATTTGCTTAGAAAAAACTGTACGATTTTCATGATTAAGCAGGCTCATTTACGATGTTATCGAAAAGTTTTGAAATTTCACGAAGCATCCTGCGTGTTTACGTGCATAGGTTTATTTTAACTCCGGTGAAGAAGTAGATTGTTTCGTAGTAACTGCGAAGAACAAAATATATGTTTGTGCTACGGGAAAGTGCAAAATCACTGTAATGGCTATTAAGTGCAAAAATTATTTTGTATGACCGTTGAAAAAAAAATGTATAATCTGTTTTGCATCTTTTACAGGATATTTTTGAAGAAAGAAAAGTTGTTGCAATACTAAAAAAGACCCAAGTTAAGAATATTGATTAGTAAGTTGAAGTTATTTCGCGTCATAACAGAACTACTGAATACGTCAACATTTATCATGCATTGCTTAATTACAGAGCTGCTTTTGATTTTTATTACATTGTTTGAGACAGGACTTTGCGATGACAGGTGGCCTATATTTATTATTGGACACGCGGCAAACTCCATTGAAGATGCTCTTTCTCATTTAGACAATGGAGCAAATGTTTTGGAATCGGATGTTCAGTTCTTTCCCAACGGATCAGTCAAAGAATTGCTTCATGGCTGCGATACTTATCATGACTGTGACGTGCCGTGTGACAAACATGTTGAAATGCCCAAGTACTTCAAATACTTACGAGATATAACAAACCCTTCTAGAAAAAATTCCTACTATAGCAAATTAATCCTGCAAATGCTAGATTTAAAACTATCTACTTCAAATGACCTCAGAGAGTCTGGACGTGACTTAGCAAGGCACTTATTAAAATACTTATGGAGTAAGGGAGACAGGCCACAAGAGGTATCATTTCCTTTAAACATACCCTTTTATATTCTTTACTTTCAGTTTCACTTTTAAAATATATTAAGCACGAATTTTATACACCGAAGAGCCATTACATTATGACCACCCTGCTAATAACATGTAGGACCACCTTTAGCCCTCAAAACTGCTAGCACCCGCCGTGGCATTGATTCCACGAGGTGCTGATAGGTACTCTGAAGTATCTGGTACCAAGCGCTCACCAACTGGTCCTGCAATTCTCCCACATTGCGAGGGGATAGCGTGGCACCACAAATGCTCTATTGGATTAAGGTCAAGTGAATTTGGGGGCCAAGACATGACTTGAAAATCACTGGAATGTTCCTCGAACCAATCCATGACGATTCGATCCTTATGACATGGTGCATTATCCTGTTGGTAAACACCATCCCCCGCAGGAAAAACTGCTGCCATGAATGGGTGAACCTGGTCTGCAACTATGTTCAAGTAGCTTACAGACGTCAGGGATTGTTCTATGAGGATTATGGGTCCTAATGTGCCCCATGAAAACATTGTTCCTGGGCGAGAAACCATGAAAACCTGGGCGAGCCCATTGTTATAGATGGAGGGTGGTCATAATGTAATGGCTCTTCGGTGTATATATATATTTATATATAATAACTATAAAATAAAACTATACGAAATTAAACACAAAACATACTTTCTCTGAATAAACATATTTTTTTTTGCGGATTAGGGTTTTTTAGCTTTAAAATATGGGGGGGAGGGAGAAGCCGCAATCTGAGAAATAAGGTCTCAATAGTTTGGCCAAGAGGACGATCGAAAGTTTGGACCCCTTAATGTAAATTTTACTTTTTACTAATTTCGCCATGTCTCGAGAACGTTTGAAACAAAACGAAAAATATTTTTTCACACAATTATAAAATCCTTTTTTTATCTAAAAATAATTTCACGCACAAAATAATGTTTGATAATATTTCTGTGTGTTTCGTATTATTCGTAATAATAACCGAAGATTTTTTTTAACAGTAATGTATGCAAATTTTTACATCATTTTAAAGAACGTAATTTTAAGTGGCCAAAATATAAAATTTGATCGAATTTGGTCGATAAAAAAAATCGAATTTTAAATATGAAACTATGTAAAAATTTGATAACTCAGAAACTATTTAACCGATTGCGTTAAAATTTCGTACTTATTTAAAATTTAGTGCTTTTAAATTATTTAAATATTTGTATGCCTTATTATTGAAATTGTTTTTAGATTATTGTTGAATGAAATATTAAAAAATAATTGTTAAAAATTACTTTTTGTATGGAGTTATATTTAGATAAATGAGTTTTATGTTCAAAAATTTTTCAATACACTTAAAAAGATCTCAAGATATGAAAAAATACGCAAAAAGTAAAATTAACATTGAGGGGTCCAAACTATACGAATCATACAGATTGCGGCTTCCTCCCACATTTTAAAGGTCAAGAATCCGAATTCGTCGATAAAAATGTATGTTAATACGTAGAAAGTATGTATTTTTGAGTCTGATTTCGTAACTTACACTATCGTCTGCACTCATAAATTTCAGATTAAGCCAACGAACCATTAAGATCGAGTCTTAGTACGTGAAAATCCGATCATTAGTTCAAAAGTTATTTCGGGAGTTCTGTTTTTCATTTTGCACACTGTACATTCGCACTTAATGCTTTCGCGATAAAATACTCTTACTATTTATAGTACCAAAAACTACGCTTTCTCTGCCACGCCAGTACGTTATTATTATTATAATAATATACAGGTATGAGTTACTGATACTCCTTAATTATTGTGTGAAAAGAGTAGTTACCGAATGTCAAGGCGATGAAGATACAAAATGTGACCTTGAGATGCCAATTTTAATTACAAGGGGTGTAATAAAAATACAACGTTCAATTTTTAAATTATGTATAAAATGCCGACTGTGGGTAGCGTTTTCTACACTAAATGGTGCTGCACAGTCTTTATAGCCCATATTTCCGGGTTTCTGCTTAAAGTGTATTTTGAGGCCATTTGGCTCACAAGCTCACTGCGTATTTTAAGACTTTGAGTAGCATTTTTTGCACACAAGTGTTTGTTACCTGATTTATCATTCGTGTTTACAATGAGTTCTACGTCTAAAACTCGAAGTAGCTCTTGCAGTGTAGCTCAACATTTGAAAACATAACATTTTAAAAACAGAATCGCTATAAAACACTCACTACCTTGTCACAAATATACCAATTTCAAAATTTAAACCAAAAGAATATTTCTGAAATGAACTTAGTCTCGTAAAAACACTAACGTATGATGGTGCTTGGCTTGTAACAAGAACAAACAGAAATAAACAAATAACCAATAAAAAGAGTCCAAATCAAGACAGCAAGAAAGAAAAAGAAAAAAAACGAGTTCTTCCGAAATCCACCCATCATCTCTTTTAACAATATATCTATAAATAACTAAAATAAATTTCCACTTTTAAACTCACCAGAAATACTTAATATCAATATCTTATGAAATAGAGCAGATTTGAGCTCAGAAGCAAAATTATCTGTCAGAAAATTGCAAAATAAAAATCGCCTCGAAAAATAAGTTGTAGTAAGCAGCTGTATACTTTCTTACCTGAGGTAAAGGCCTGTTTTTTACAATCCAAGTTCTAGGACGAAGATTGATTGAAATTGATGGAAACTTGTTTTGCTTCGAGCTTGGATCGTGTAAAACAGGGCTGTCCAACTGCAAAGAGCCCACGGACCAAAATTCCGGTCACTGATCACCTGGCGGGCCGCAGTTTGAAAAAGTTGAACAATTAAACTCTTATACAATAACAATTAATAGTTGAA